CGACCTTGAAGTCTGCTTTCCTACAGGAGATACAGAATCTGACATTTTTGGTGGTTTGGGGTTTTTTTTTTAAACGCTGCTTGTTTCATTTCCACTTGGCATTTCAAACCCAGTCAGATACAAAACATAAAAGCATTTTTGCTCAAATCCACTTTAGCCTCAGAAACTCACCACAGGGTAGGGACCATGCCAGAGCCATGATGATGTCACCGAGGTAATTAGGGTGACGAACAAAACCCCACCAACCCGTGACAAGAAGCCCTTTTCCAGTTGCAGTGGGTATAAATTTCAGATCTGTGAACAGAACATTGTGGTGAATGCAGCGATTGAAATATGTATTTAAATATTACAAAGAGCCATCAAATAAAATCACAGCCAATGGAATAAAAAATTTACTCACTGGCCAATTTGGGATCTGCTGGATTCCGTCGGAAATTGTTTTTCTGAGAATTTGCACTACGGAATATGTAATACCCAATACCTGAAAATAAACATGATGTATTTTGTATTTTCAGTATTTTCCAGTTCTCTCAGATTCAACAAAAGCACTCACATGCCCTCTGCCACACTTATTCCATCAAAGTTTTCTCCCCAGTGATTCAAATGATATTTTCTGGTTCTCAGAGTTCTAACAAGATAGAAATACCATTGGAAACCTGCATTCCATGTGCTCCTTTTTGTTACTGTCCTGGTTTAGGTCACCCCAGGACAGTTACTAACTTTGAAGAGATTCTGAAGAACCTGAGCTTTTTAATGTAATGCCGACATACGGTGATGTGCTGAACTTTGTATGGTTACAGCTCTATTTAGCAGCCTAGCACTTTGTTATAGCACCTTCTCCATAAACTGACTACCCATTTACAAGATCATGATAATAAAAGAACCAGGCAATGAATGATCTGGGTCTGAAATTCATATCCCCCATAATTTTCACACAACAGCTTAAAGTTACTTTTGCTAAAGCTGCATTGAAAAAAGATGATCACAACATACTTCAAATAAAGGTGCCATTAAAAAAAATAAATAGAAACCCAAGAAAAAACATTAGGTGAAGATGAAAATAAATTTTCTGGTTCTCAGTATTGCACATATTAAGTTGTACGTCTTCTCATTTTTTCCAATTCTTTGACATGTCTACAAAATATGAGTGGGTTTTTTTGTGTTTCCTGTGCAGATAATAGAGACAACAAGGCTATGTTGCTGCAAATTTAATGTTGTCTAAAGATGTGAGATCTTTTCTCAAAGCACTCAGCTTTGATAAAAATAGATGTTTTCTACTGACATGTGTTTGTAACTGTGGTCATCAGGGAAGGAGATGCAAATAGTTACTTTCTCCCTAGGTTCAGTAGAGAGTTGCCAACTAGGTACTATTTTTTTTAAAAGTGAACTCAGAAGTCACTTCTTCAACTCCAGACAGCACCCACCTAGAGCTGCCTCTCACCAGAACAATTAGGTGTTTAGTCTCACCTATCCTTCATTTGCTAAAATGATAATTTATTATATTCTTTGTATTTCACAGGAGCCAGACAATGACTGCTGCATCTGACCTAAAACTTCACCTCTCACAACTATGTTGTAACCAACAGCAACAATGGCATTTACTGTAACTTACAGTTCAGAACAGTAATTGCAGCAGCAACAGGCCAAGTAATTGTGATGGGATGACCCACTAAGTAGAAGGCCTGCAGGCTGTAGACAAATGGAACCCACACCAAATCTCCAAATGCCAGCATGAATCCAAATCCATCATGGGTAATATCCATTGTAGTCAAAATGGCTTCCTAGAAACAAGGAGAAAAGAATATTAGTATTTCCAAAGCTTCTCTCTCTTAACATTGTAATTAGAAATGGAAACAGTTGAAGGGGATTGACATTTACCTCATTCCAAAGAGCATCCACCACATAGAGAAGCTGGAAGCTGTTGACAAGAATCATGGACAGGGATGGCACACTGAGATTGTGGATCTTCATCTCAGCCAAGAGCATTGCCAAGTTTATAACAACCTAAGTTAGACAATATTTTAATTTTAAAATTACTTGCAAAAGAAGGTGGTCTTTATTATTACACTACAGGCATTTTTGACCAATGTTTAGGCTTAAAAACACTATAAACTATATCACAAATCTGTTTGCACATTTCTGAAGCTGTATAATCTCGACATATTAATTCTTTAAAAAGAGTTTCCATTTGCCACAAAACAAAGGTAGAAACTTCCTTCAAGTGAATAAAAATGGTCATTAGAAAACTAGCAAGGTGTAGCTGGTTTTCAGTACTCATTATAAATATATACAGTGTTTATAAATACATACATATGTATTTCCTTAATATCAATTGTATGTGTGTGTGTGTAAAAAAACCCCTCTGTGTCATATTTTAGCAAATAAAATAACTCAGATTACTGACTCA